AGTATGCTGTTTTGAATATAAATTACATGACTCCTTAAACATATACCTTGGAATATACCTTTGTGAATAACTGGGCTGCCTGCACCTTTACCCCATGAAGACTGCAAGACACAATTTGCCTGTTTTCCTCAGTATCTCCTTAAATAATAATTCATAGTTTAGACATGACAATTCAGCCCCATGGCCTTTTATATATGCAGAAAAGTGCAGCCCCCCTTTTTCAGCGCTTCCTTTGAATTCCACACTAACCAGGTCAGTGGGCTTGCTGTGCAGTCCAGCATGTGGCTGCAGCCAGCACCAGAGTGGACAAAGAATTGCACCAATTCCAGTTTGAAATTCAGTATGAAAGAGTGAAGATGAGAGAAGTTCAGAAACACAGCACTGCTTTCAAAATAAAATGAAATATCAAAACTAGTTGACTAAATTTAAATGTGACTCATTGAAGCATGGCTGTGCGTCATTCAGAAGAGGCTCCAGACCTGTTGTGGGCTTGTCTTCCCTGTTGGCCAGCAGGCCAGCCGGCCAGACAGCCAGCCACAGAGGGGCTCAGCAATTCTTAGAGAGGGAAATTCAAACTGTACAATCAATTTGTTGTCAGTCATGAAGTCGTGTCCGACCCATTGCGACCCCATGGACAACATTCCTCCAGGCCTTCCTGTCCTCCACCATCCCCCGGAGTCCACCTAAGCTCACACCAACTGCTTCAGTGACTCCATCCAGCCACCTCATTCACTGACATCCCCTTCTTCTTTTGCCATCTATTGTTCCCAGCATTAGGCTCTTCTCAATAGCAGATTGGAAACTGGGAAAGACCTGGTCATGCATTCTGTGGGTTGGCCTGCCTGAGAGTAAGACACAACTGAGCAGCTTCAGGCTGGAGGTGTCTCATTAATGTGTTATGGGAGGAGATGAGACTGGAGTGTCCAACAGAGAGGGGAAGAGGGTGACTTTTATGTCAGTGGGGCGCCTAATCATTTGCAGCTTTTATTCTGAGCTGTGTAGGAGCTATTCATGGTGCTCCATTGTGGTGAGGATATTATGGGGTATCTTCATCACAATGGAGCAATATCTCCTTTAATGTTCAGAATAAAAGCTGCAATGAATCAGAAGCCACATTGACCTAGGAGCCACAAACCCACTCTGCATATAGAGATATAAACAGGCTTGGCATGCTCTTGAATAAATTTTCCAGAAACGGTGGGGCAGGCGTATTTTTGGCAGGCCACAGCCTTCATGTGACATTTCCAGTTGTTTTTTTAATGCTGAGTCTACCAAGCAATGGCAAAGAAAGCTCAGAGAGATCTGTTTGTCTGCTGCAGGTGCTTTGTTAGGACCATGTAAAGCCATTACTGGCTCTGCAGAGGGGCAAATTAATGCTATGACTGGCCTCATCCCTGATGTATTGCAGGACACTCCCCACATATCCTTGTTCGGTACTGTGCAGTGGTACCTACACTCACTCCATAGCCCAGCTACTGCAGAATCACTATCACAAAAGCCAAGAAATGCCATGACAGATTTTCAGCAGCTTCAAGGAGTACTTTGGGGTCCCTCTTTGTTGCTGGACAAGTAGCTACAGTGACTCAGCATTCCTTTCACCAGCTTCAGCTACTATACTAGCTTCAGACATTTCTGGTCTGAGCCAGTTTGTCCAGAACTCAGAATATTGTGCTAAACTTTGTGTGGGCCTTCCCTTTAGGCTGGTCCAGAAGTACCAACAGTGCAGAATGTTTTAGCAGTTCTCTGTACTGAGAGGACCATACTGGGTGCCCATTTGCTACAGGGCCAGATTTAAAAGGTTTTGCTGCTAATATATAAAGTCCTAAACAATTTGGCACCTGATTACCTGAGATCCCATCTTTTGCCCATTCAATCCATGACATTCTCTGGTGAGATCCTCTTAGTGGTACCAGATCAGCTTCAGTTTTCAGAGCAGGACATTTAGCATGTGCAATAATCTTTTCCCAAAATTAGATATGCAGCAACATGTTTTATTTTTAGATGCACATTGAAGGCCCTTATTTATGCAAGCCTTCCCTGTGCAGTACAACCTTTCACTTTAGGGACATATAAAATATTTTACATATATTTGGTTTATTTCATGTGTTCGTGGTTCATGCACACTGCTTTGACATTTGTAACTGCCGGCAGCTTATACAAATCAGTCAACTGATCTATTAAAAGTGCATGAAACTATATCAAACTATTCTCAGTTTGTCCGAATGAGCAAGTCTGGAAAGCAGCACTTGGCATATTGAGCAGCTTCTAGGATCTGGTTTGCCACCCCTTAAGTTACACTCTGAACATCACCAGGCAGTCAGAACCCTGAGGGGCAGCAGCAGCCGGTGTGTGTGGTCTGAAGAGGAGACGTGGTGGGCATGCTTCATATATTGTGGGGCAGAAAGAAATGTGAGGTGCCGCAAGTGCTTCCGTGAAGCTCCTAACTCTGCTCCCAGGATCACTCACACTGAATGCCATTGGGTTATCTGAGACAAAAAGACCTACTTCTTTGCCTAATTGACCTATGGAATTCCCTGCCAAAACTGATGTGGTGCTGGTAAAGACACAACAGAGGGCATCTGTTCAGAGTTCCAACCAGCCAGCCTGTTCCAGGAAATTCCATTCAATTCTCCTTCCCTCTTGTTCCATGCACATCCCATCATCTGGGTAGGATCCCATGAGCACTGAGCATGCTCAGTCCTCCCTGGGCTGCTTAGGAGTTCCCATCTCCTGTGGATTCCACCCCCCACCAAGTTATTTTTGTGCTTCTTCAAACCCTGGGGTTCCCCCAAACCTATAGGCTTCTCCCTTTGGTTCCTCTCTCTTGTGCATGGATACCGCCATTTGGGTTACATCAGGATCCCGGCTTGAAGTATGATTTTGACATTACACAGGATTGTTATATGAATACATAGAATCACAGCTAATAGAATCTCTTTATTTCAAGGCTGAGTACTGGATGCTGTGGACAAAGCAACATTTGCTTTGTGTTCCTTCTGCTTATGAGCTTTCCTGGGACATTTGGTTGCTCTTGGTTGAGACCGAATACTGGGTCGACTCAATTGGCGATTCTTAGGGCTCAATAGGCTTGTCATGCACGGGAATGGTAGGGAAGTGGTGTCTCATGATCTTGGTTTGAACTGGCCAAGCCACGGATCCAGCCACAGCTTTAATTGCAATACACGTAAGTATAAATGATTAAAGTGGCCTTATATGGACCTCCAAAGTCTTCATCTAAATTTCTCCAACATTCTACAGCCAGCTGGCAACCAAAGGTATTCAAGAGATGGCCTTGTTCAGTCTTTAAAAAGAAAAAAAAAGTTTGGATCTGCATAAAATAAGAGAGAAGTGCCCAAAGACACTTTTTTCCCGTCGGGATGGAGATGCCGAGGCAGGGAGCACATTGTGGGGAAACATCAACTGTGGAATTAGGGGTGGAGAGAGGGCAAGCTTTTCTCCGCAGTTTGGGGAAATACTGTTCCGCTACAAACGTCATCCTGAGGGGTCTGCAGCCTTCTGCGCATGTCACCTGCCAAACACTTGGCTGGAAACTCAGTATGAGACCTTCTGGGTGCATGCGGCGCCAGGGCCGCAGGAGTGCGAGCAATCCCACTCAGTACAGTGGGATTACTTCCGAGTAAGCCACGCAGGAACGCTCTCCTTGTCTTTTCTTCCTTCAAGCGCGAGAGCCGGCGGAATCAACCAGCGCGTCCATCCCCGCTGGCCAGGGCTGCGTCCGCCATCGATTCGTGGCCCGTCAAGGAGAAAAGCAGCAAATCGCGGCGAAACGCCGCCGCTCGGTCGGCGCTGCGCGCGCCCGGCTCCACTCCGCTCGCCCGGCCGCAGCAGCCACCGCGGGCTGGCCCGGCTTCGCGCGCTCGCTTCCCCGCGCTACGCGGGGAGGGCCGCTCCTCCTCCCGGCTCTCCATCGGCTCGCCGCCTGGCCCGCTCCTCCCGCCAGGCCGCGCTCCCGGAGAGGCTCCCCCAGGTGCCGCCGGACCCCCGCCCAGCACGCGCCACCCGGAGGCGGCGGCGGCGGCGGCACCCCGAACCCGAGCCACGTCCCCGCCGCCCGCCGCCTCAGCCTCCGCGGAGTCTGGAGCGATCCGCGGCCTCTCCCTGCGCCCTCGCCGCGCCGCGCCCCCGCCCGGCCACGACCGCCTCCCCAGCGCGGCCAATCCGCGCTCGCCGCCGGCCTGGGCCGCCTCCCTCCCGTCCCCACGCGGTGGCCCAGCCCAATTGTTTATTCAGTGGCTGGGCCAACGGCACGCGCCGGGCGCACGCGCTTGCAACAACAAACCTTGGAAAGGGAGCGGGGAGGGAGGCGGAGCTCGGTCCAGCGCGTGTTGCGCGGGGGCTCTCCCGGTCGGCCGCGGGCGGGGGGGGGGTACGCGCCCCTTGCCTGCTCGTATGGTGCTTTCCCCTCGATCAACCGTCACCCCCCCCCCCGCATGCAGCCCATCAAGAAAGGCGGCAGCACTCCTCGGCTGGCGGCCCCTCACCGCGAAGCCAGGGAGTGTGGAAGGCGCAAGGTGCACTCCCGCGGGGGGGGGGGCATCAGACGCTGCACCAGTGGGAGGAGGAGGCGGCGGCGGCGGCGCTAGCGCGCGCGCGCGCGTGTATGTGGCGGGAGGGGGGAAGCAGGGGGGACAACAAGCGGCGCTCCGGCCGTCCCTTATAAGAGACACAATCTCTGGACCTTTTTTGGCAAAAGAGGTTTGGCGAAGCAGGCTGCGCACACGCGAGCGCCACGAGCCTGCCTCGGTTCCAAAGAAAGGGGAGGAGGGAAAAGCGAGCGGTGCCATCTGAGCTCGCTCGCTCGCTCCTAGCGCTCTGCCTGCGCGAGCCTTGCCCCCCTTTCCTCCTCTGCTTCCTTCTTCTCCTTCGCCTTCTCCCTTCCTTCCTTCCTTCCTTCCTTCCTCTTCCCCTCCCCACGCCTAAGGCCAGCAAGAGCCGCGAGTCCCGCCGCGCGCCTTTTTCCTCCTCCGTGCGGCCGCCCAATGGCCAGCGGCAGCCCCGCCAAGATGGACAGCAGCGCCAGCCAGCCGCCGCCGCCCCCGCCGTTCCTGCAGCCCGCCTGCTTCTTCGCGGCGGCGGCGGCGGCGGCCGCAGTGGCCGCCTCTCAGAGCGCGCAGCAGCAGCAGCAGCAGCAGCAGCTGAGCCCGGCGGCGGCGAGCAGCCAACAGAGCCAAGCCTCTCCCGGGGCCGCCAAGGTGCCTGCTGCGGCTGCGCCGAAGCAACAGCCGCCGCCGCCGCCGCCGCAGCAAGTGAAGCGGCAGCGCTCGTCGTCGCCGGAGTTGATGCGCTGCAAGCGGCGCCTCAACTTCAGCGGCTTCGGCTACAGCCTCCCTCAGCAGCAGCCGGCGGCGGTGGCGCGGCGGAACGAGCGCGAGAGGAACCGCGTCAAGCTGGTCAACCTGGGCTTCGCCACGCTGCGCGAGCACGTCCCGAACGGCGCCGCCAACAAGAAGATGAGCAAGGTGGAGACGCTGCGCTCGGCCGTCGAGTACATCCGCGCGCTGCAGCAGCTGCTGGACGAGCACGACGCCGTCAGCGCCGCCTTCCAGGCCGGCGTCCTCTCGCCCACCATCTCCCCCAATTACCCCAACGACATGAACTCCATGGCAGGCTCGCCTGTCTCGTCGTACTCCTCGGACGAAGGGTCCTACGATCCGCTCAGCCCCGAAGAGCAGGAGCTGCTGGACTTCACCAACTGGTTCTGAGAGGGGGGCGGCCTGGGTGGCCCTCTTGGCCTTGGCTTGGCAGCAGGTGGGTTCAGCTTAGCTTCTTGGGTGGGGATCCTGGGCGAGCGGCGGGAGGAGGGAGGCGGGATCGTGGCTCCACGGGCGCCGCGGTGGAGATGGAGAGGAGGACGGGCGGCGGGTGTAATCGCCTCGCCTAGCTAGGGCCGCCAGTTGTACCATGCTGTCGAGGAATGGCATCTTAGGAAGGAAGGAAGGAAGGAAGGAAGGAAGGAAGGAAGGAAGGAAGGAAGGAAGGAAGGTCGCTGCCCGGAGGAGCTTACAATCAAACGCTGGAGGGGCAGGGGTGGGAGATGTACCAATGCAGTTATAGGTCTTTAGGGAATGGAGACATCATCCCATTATAGTCTATCAGAGTTGGGAGCGCTTCTGAATGAAATCAGTGGCCCATCTCCTTGTGGACTGAATCCCTGCATTGCAATCCAGGCACCCTCTCTTGCTCCAAGGTGTACGGAGCATGGACTGTTTGGGTTTCTGAGTGACAGTCTGGGAGGTGCAACTCTGAGCCTTTGATTGTGGGGCTGCTGCCAAACACTGGACTCCCAGAAGTCCAGCAGTAAGTCAGCCCCGATTGAAGCAGTTTGTGTATTGTACAGCCTGACACTCAAGACTGGGCCTTTCACAGCCAGCAAGCACTTAATGTGCAGTAGGCCCAGAAAAAAAGGGCTAAAACCCTCCATAGGAAACCTCAGTAAAACTACTCTAAAGTAAACTGCTTCTAGGCTGGATCCCATCAGGCCGCCCAATGCGTATTTTATGTATTTTGTTTGTTTCCCATTCTCATCCAGACTCCCTCTGCACATAGGGTGCCTGTCAGGTTGGGTTGGGTTTTTTTTTTTTTTTCTTTCTCAGCCAGCAACACTACATAAAGCCAAGCAATAAAAAGCAATGACAAAACATCATGAACCATATAACTACCCAACCACATAAGCTAGTTGGTATCCTAACTGCATATGCCTGGAAAGAAGATTTGTCCAGTTGAGAGACCCACAGCCTTATCACACAAAACTCCAGTATGGACTTGTTTTGCAGTTGTGCCTGGTATCCTAGATGCCAGGTCTGCTAAAATTATCAGGGCCATGGCTATAAGCATAATGAGATCACTCACAGCCTGGTTTGGTCAATGCCTAGAATCCTCTTGAAGTCTACCTAGGAGAAAGGCAAATAGGAGAAAGGCCTAAGTGTAATAAATACAATACATTCTACCTGCAGTGCAACCAAATACATGTGTATGTAGAAGTCCCTCTGTGTCTAAAGGGGCTTGTTCCCTGTTGAATGTGTTTAAAGCTGCATCCTGTGGCAGAGACCTTATGCACCCTGCTGAAGGAGTCAGCCCCACTGAAAATAGCAGAGCTTTTTCTGAGTAAATATACACATGGTTAGGTTGTGTGTGCTTATGATGGAAGCCTTAATTGGGAATGGGTTTCATTGACATCCCTGGGAGTTACACCTCAGACCTGAACAACTGCACTAAAAGTATCTTTGAGTTAAATCCTAATCATTCAGACTACAGCACTGTCCTATCTAGGTCTATTCAGAAGTAAGTCCTGTTGAGTTCAGTTGGGTTTACATTCAGCTAATTGTGCATAGCATTGCACTTTGCAGGCCTGGCTGTAAAACTGGGGCCTGGCTATAAAACTGGTTTGCTTCACTGAGCAGGGAGCAGTTAAGGGACCTGGCAAGCAGAGCCCAATTGTGGCCTCCTCTGAATAGTTCTCTCCCTGGACCTTGCCCTCTTTCACTTGAATTAAGCCTTGACACTGACCTCTCTCCCTCTCTCTCACCCTCTCTCTCTGTTATACAGGACTTGTTGAAAAATGGTTGCATCTTATTGCTCCATTTTCTTTCCCATTATGGAAAGGAGAAGAAAGTCAAGACAGTGAAGCACAGAAGAAGTTGGACTTTTTCTCCAGGAAAACACTGAAGCACTCCCAGATTCTGCCTTTGCACTCCAGGCTGTTCAGAGAGGCATGAAGCCCCATCATCTGCAGGGTTGCTTGAGAAAAAAGCCCATTGAATTTAAACTGGGGTTCTTTTCCCAAATAAGTGTCCACAGGAGTGGCGCCTATGCTTCAGTCCTGTGCACATGTATGTGGAGCTAAGCCTCACCAAATGAAGTGGGGCTTACTTCCAAGTAAACACAGATAAGATCTGGCTGCACCAGGGGCTTAGGAGCCATGGGGGGCATGAGGTGATGGAGCCTCTATCTGCCTGTTTTCTACTGCTGAAGTTAAAAACACTGACTGTGTTATAGAAACCTTCACAGAGGAAAGATCTTCCCATCTTGTTGAAATAAATACAGTATTCCCCCTTTTGAAAAACTGGTTATTTCACTGCTTTATAGTCCCCAATTGCAATACAATCCCAAGTATCTTTACTCAGAAGTGAGTCCCACAGAGGTCAATGGGACTTGTTCCCTGGTGAGTGACCTTAGGATCACAGCCCTCCTTAGAGCAATCCTATGCTTACTGAATGTGGTGGGACTTGCTCTTCAGTGAGTGCTAAAGGATCGCAGCCCTAGTTGCCTGAAACATATGGAGATTTTGAAAATCAAAACTATGCTGTACTCAAAGAATCCTCTGAAATGTCTCTCTCTCCCCTTTATCCACTTTCCCTTCATAAAATGCTTCCAATTTTTTCTCATGAACTTTTAATTATATATATATATATATATAAAATATAAATCTATTTGTATCAATCCTAACTAATTGTGGGAATATATTAAGCTATTTTTGTATATAAGAGACAGAGAAATTTATACACTTTTTGTACAAATGGTTTAAAGTGTGTATATCTTGATAACTTTTAAAAATATGTAATGCGTATTACCTCTTCATATCTAGATGCGTAGTCAACATAACCTTACAATTGCCATGTTTTTGTTATGTGGTTTTGTAAAGGACTTGGAAATGCCTCCAGATGTACTTTAGCACCAACGTGTCTTACTTTTTTATAGAAAACTTTGCTAATGTATTAATAATGTTATTAAACAATGTTCAAAGTGAACAAAGTTTATGCAGCTATTGTCCAAACGCAAAACAGTAGCTATTTATTTTATAAGCTGCTGCCTTTTGAAGAAGAAGAAACGTTTTTACCACTGCCTTTTCATGCTGTTTTATTACAAACTTAGAAAAGTCACGTATAACCATGTTTTATACAAACTAGTTTGGTAATAAAACCTGTTTCAATTAAAACGATGTCTTCCTGGTTCGACCGCTCTGTGTACTGTTAATTTCTGCCATTGGTTCATCTTGTATAAGACAAGCCAAATGTTTGTGGGGGGGGGGGGGAGTTGCTTCTGAGGACAGAAGTGTACAGGGAAGGATAGCGCGTATCTGCAAACCTGCGGTGGTATTGTAACCTTACTATTTTGCCTTCCTGTTTTGCAAATGTGTATTAAACCAAGAGAAGTCTGCCTGCTTCATTGTCTTTCCTGTAAGTGCCGCTCATTTAAATCACGTCCCTCAACGAAGGATTCCTAACAGAGAGGGAGTCCTTTCCTGCATCTTCAGTCTGTCTCGCTTCTCGTAAATCGGGCGTACGCTAGAGAATCCGAAGGGGTTGAAAGGCTGCAGGAGAGAGGCGGGAACACGAACTTAACTCAGCACCTTCACTGCTTCTAACATATAATCTGTTTTTATTAAGTACTATGCATAAAACCACGTTGGATAACTGCCGGTGCATGGAAAAATGAACGCCAGGACAGAGCAAAGAAGCAGAAATATGCGCCTTAGATGCTAGACGCCGATTTATCTAGCTTGTTTTTAAGTTCTCCCAACAGCGTGATCTGCGTGTAAAAGTACCCAATTACCAAGATACAAAAAGAAATTGGGTCTTTTCTCTCTCGCGCGCTCTCCCCCTCGTTGGCTAGCCTCCTTGTTGTCAGTTAGCAAAGACGTGACCAGAATTTGCCTCGAGTTCATCCCCTCCCTCTCGTCCCCCTCCGCCTTTCTTCGCTTAGCTCCTCCCGGGTTGCTTGCAAGCGCGGTCTGCGTACACCAACTCAAGCGGAAAGCAACGCACAGCAACGATCCAGTAAAATAGAAAGAAAAGGAGCTGGTCAAAGTGTCTTAAAAAGCAGCTTGCTATAAGAACGAGCGAAACAAGCAGCAATTCCACGCGATCCATTAATAAAGGAATTCTTCACGCGCAGACCACGCTGGAATTTTAGTGAATCTGGAGCATTGCATTGCCACACATTCAGCCTCTTTCTCCCCACTTTCCCTTTCCCATTAAAATTCGGGGGGGGGGTTGAGAGGAACCGAAGAGAAATCACTAGATTGCTTCAGTACAAACGCTCATTGTTACAACCGGTTTTGGAACTACCGTTTGATTATGAAAATAATAACGGTTCTGCGTCGCCTTCGCCCTCTTTTTTTAAAAGGCGGCTCCCCCCTCTTTTTGTTTACCCAATTTTACAAGGGTGCGGAGATAAGGTATGCAAAGAAAGTTTAGTGGGCAATTTATGGCTATGAATATAACATTAGGATAATGTCTTATTCTAAAGACCACATTTTCTCTTCCTTATGTAGACAGGTGTTCTCTCTCTCGTTTTCTCTTTTGTGCTCACATCTGCACGATAAATATCCCGAGTCGCCAAACTGGAAGCAAAGTTACGCCGCTCCTTGTAACAAAGTACAAGATCGAGACACACAAACATTCCCCCCCCGCGCAACACCCACACAATTTTACTGCAGATAGGAAAGGGCAAAGCAGGATTGAGGTAAATCTCATTACATCTGCTCTAATCGCTTAGCAACACAAAGCCTTTTCTTGTGTTAGAAGGCAAACTATTCAGCAGCTCTGGCAAGACGAATTCAGCATTAGTAAACTCCATAAATCAGGAGAATCTATTTTATCTCAGGAAAGTTTTCAAGCTACCCTGCCAGCGCTTTTGGGGGGGGGGGGGAGTGACGGGGAGTGAAACTAACCAGAAATGCAGGTGGAAATTGTTAGGTGCT